TCTAGGATTCAAAGTGACCTGAACAAATTGGAGGATTAGGCCAAAAGAAATATCACAGAGACATCAGAGGAGGAGGTGGGTAGTTAGCAAACTGCCACCCCCAAGATGAGATGCAGGGTGGTGGGGTGGAGGCACTCCTTCCTGCAGGGCACCGAGGGACCCATCTACCATCTAGACCCCATAGCCCATGAGGTCTCCTGCCTCCCTGCAGCTCACATGTGGGATGTTGCGGAGAGGATCCCTAGGCTCATCTGGCCCTCCGACCACTACCCCATGTTCTTCATCCGTGTGGGCACAAATGACATGGCCAGGAGTAATCTGGACTGAGTCATGAGTGACTACAGGGCTCTGGGGGTTGGACTCAAGGGGTCAGAGGCACAGGTAGTCTTTTCCTTTGTGCTTCTGGTTGTGGGCCACGGACCTAGGAGGGAAGGATGTGTTGGAGAAGTGAACTGACGACTCCAGCGATGGTGCTACTGAGAGGGCTTTGGTTTCTTTGACCACATCACACTCTTCAGGGAGAGAGGACTCCTGGCAAGAGACGGCATCCACCTCACGTGGAGAGGTAAGTCCCTGTTCTTGGCCAGGATGGCCGATCTTCTAGGTAGGGCTTTAAATGAAGATTTCTGGGGGATGGGGGAACGCTGGCTGGAGCATGCCCGGGGACCAGCACACAAGAAAATTCTGAAGTTGAGAACAATAGGAGAGCCACTTTTGCAAGAGCTGAGGGAATGGTTTTCCCTTAATGTGACAGGAAATCGAGGGTCTCATTTGGAGGACCAAGGTGCCTCTACACTAATGCCAGGAGCATGGGGAACAAGCAGGAGGAGTTAGCCCTCCTGTTCTCCAGTGGGCATTATGATTTATTAGGGATTACGGAGACCTGGTGGGACTCCTCACATGATTAGAATGTAGCCATAGAGGGCTACACCCTGCACAGAAGGGACCGAATAGGGGAAAAAAAGGTGGAGGTGTAGCTCTCTATGTGAGTTTTTGGAGGCCGACATAGGCTCCAAAGAAGAGCGACTCGAAACCCTTTGGGTCAAACTATAGGGCAGGGGGGGAGAGGAGTGGTGAGAGAGACCTAACTGTAGGTGTATACTACAGACTACCAAACCAGGGGGCGGAGCTCAATCTGAAGTTCTCTTGAAACGGCAGAGGCTGCGCATGCATGGGGCATGGTTGTCATGGGTGACTTCAATTACCCAGACATCTCTTGGGAGGAACACTCGGCTAAGTCGGATTGGTCATGTTGCTTCCTGACCTGTATCAAAGAGCTCTACCTAACTCAGGAAGTGCATGGGCTAACCAGAGGTAATGCTCTTCTAGACTTGGTCTTGGCCAAAGGAGGCCATCTGGTGAGTGACTTGAAAATAGAGGGTAGCCTGGGCAACAGTGACCATGAAACCACCACATTCACTGTCTGTCACAAGGGGGGCAAATCAGCTAGCAGGATTGAAGTTCTGGACTTCCGAAAAGCTAATTTCAACAGGCTCCGGGCAATAGTAGGGGAAGTGCTATGGGACCAGGGACAGAAGGTAAAAGGAGTGCATGAAGAGTGGTCATTCCTCAAGGACATGATCCTTGAAGCACAAAAGAAGTCCATTCCCATGCAGAGGAAAGGTAGCAGAAGGGCTGGTAAGGTCTCTTGGCTTAATAGGGATATCATGGTTCTCTTGAAAGAGAAGAAAGAGGCATACCAACGATGGAAGCTTGGGACAGTCCCTAAGGAAGACTATACAACAACGGCCTGCACTTGTAGGGAACAGGTTAGAAAGGCTAAGGTGGCGACTGAATTTAAATTAGCAACAGAAATCAAAGACAATAAGAAGTCCTTCTTTAGGTTTATAGGGAACAGGAGGAAAACAAATGGAAGCCTGGGGCTGTTGCTTAACAACTCAGGACATCTGGTTACTGACACTCAGAAGAAAACTGAACTCCTGAGTGACTACTTTACTTCAGTATTTCACTGGACTAAGGGGAAAAATCATACTAGATAAGGTTCAGAATGGGCATGGTGGGAATGCCTGCCTTCCTACTGTTGCTGTTGAGCTGGTGCATGATCAGTTAGAAAAGTTAGACATTTATAAGTTAGCAGGACTAGATGAACTTCATCCAAGAATGCTGAAGGAGCTGGCTGAAGTAATAGCGGGACCTCTGGTGAAACTCTTCCAAAATTCGTGGCGCTTGGGGGAGGTCCCTAAAGATTGAAAGAGGGCCAATATTGTGCCCATCTTCCAGAAGGGGAAGAGAGAGTACCCGGGCAACTACAAACCAATTAGCCAAACTTCTATTCCAGGGAAAATCCTGGAAAAATTCATCAAAGAGTCTGTGCAATAAGCTTGCAGAAGGTAGGATTCTGAACGATAGCCAGCATGGCTTTGTTGCGGGCAGATCTTGTCTTACCAATCTCATCTCCTTCTATGACCAGGTAACTTGCCACCTGGATAAGAGAGAGGAGGTTGACACTGTGTTACCTAGACTTCCAATAGGCCTTTGATCTGATATCCTACAATGTTCTCATGGGAAAATTGGAAGATTGTGGGCTTAACTGCTTGACAATCAGGTGGGTAGGAAGCTGGCTGTGAGGTAGAACCCAGAGAGTTCTAATGAATGGATCTGTGTCGTCCTGGTGAGAAGTGGCCAGTGGTGTCCCTCGGGTCTATGCTTGGTCCAGTGCTTTTCAACATCTTTATCAATGATTTGGTTGTGG